AGAGGGATACATAGTACTTAGATTCCTGAATAGAAAGCCTGCTGTCACGCAACCTCTTGGCCAACTTCATTCACACCAGTCCTTTAAGATAGCTTTGTCATCAAATATTCATGGGGAAAAATACAAACACAGATGAGGGTAATCAGTGTAATACTTCAAGTGCTTTTTTTTTGCCAGAAATCCTTTCTGTGGCAGTGATGCCTCATAAGTCTTTTCCCTAATCAGGTAGGATTAAGGCAGTGCTGCTGAGACAGAGGCTGTACTATCAGAGAGAGACCCACTGCACAAGAAATTTTGTAAACTGAATGAGAGTTTGCCTAACCAGTCACTGAAAAAATATATTCTCTGTATCCTGGTCAATCCTTTGTTTCATGTTGAGCTATGAATTAGGAAAGTCATGTTAACAGCTGGGAGACGGTTTTTACTGAGCGTCAAGCAGTTTTGATGCAGGTTATTGGTTGTGGAGGGACTGACAAAAAGCGAGCAGGCTTTGACGGATGGGAGCCTAGTGTAGTCTTAGACAACTCCGTTTGATGGAGCAAAGAATGTAAGTGCCAAAGATGATCTAAACAATAGGAGGAAGAAAAGGGCTAGTGCTGTCAGACATGTATAACTGTTGAGGAGAAAAGCTATCTTTGTAATACCAAGCATAGAGGAATTCAATAAGATTACTCTGAGTGTCAAAACATATTGCAGAACAAACTATCCATAGCATGTGGCAGCACAGGGGAATAAATGTAATCATAAAATAGTCAATAAGACAGAGTGAAAACATAAAATAAATGTTATGCAGTAGACAAATGCAGAGATACTGTTAGTATCAGTAAACAACAAAATACTCAGTGCTCTTTCACAAGCACAATAAAGGGAAAAAATGTTCTCCTGAAAAAAAAGTCGCATTGAGTGATAATGAGAAAATAGCTTTTTTACAGAAAATATCAAGGCTTAGGCTGTAATTAGACAACAATCTAGAACGATCCTAAACTTCATGAGCTATAGCTTGAAAAGGTATAACAAATTCTTATTTGCTGTAAAAATGGTAGAAACAGAACAGTGGAAAGAACATAAGTTCCAGTTTGGAAAGGTTTTTAAACTGACATTAGGCTTCTTGTTGAATTTGAGTAAATTTCCAAAATTTAGAGATTCTTGAGAAAAATTGTCATCTTTTTACTTTGTGAAAACTAAACTTTCTGCTTCATTTGTACATCTAGATTTAACTGTATTTTATTCAAACACAAAATCATACAAAACAGAAAACCCTCAGACCCATTTAAAATGAAAAATATTTTGGTCTTAGATAAAGAAGTATGACTGAAAATTGGAGGGAGAAAGAGAATCAAAGGGATATGGTGCTGCTGGAGGTAACCTGTATTACAGTACAGGTAAAATAGACTGTCCCTATAGAAGTAATGTAACATATCATGGGAAGTTTAGAGACAAACCAGATAATTAAGTCTATTAACATGTTCCAGAAAATGTTTATAGAATTCATCCCTATCTAGGAAAAGTGTAATATAGCCAGGGCTACATTACTGACTACATACTAGGATGGTGATATAAACACAATAAGTTAAGTGAAACTATATTGGCTGTGCAGAGAGATTACACGATAACGGGATAATGATAAATTTTGTATGCTTCAACACATACTGGATCAATCAAGGAGTAACAAAAGAAAAAAATTTAACATACCATAAATGTTTGCTGCTTGTAGCAAGCAATCAGACAACCCACAAGAAGAGAAGCGTATTTAGTTCTGAACAGTACATAGGACTTGATTCAAGAAATAGCGAGAACCAGTTCTGGACTGAAAGTCAACATACTTGTAGAGAAGAAAAAGGCCAAACAAATTCACTGCAGTAATATTTAACTTTAAGATAGAGAGCAGATAAAAATGAGGAAGTTAGTTAAATGGAAATTGAAAAGAACAGCTAAAAATTTAATGCAGACAGTATGGAGACAATTTAGAGATAAAGTATATGAGAGACCCAGAATAATCATATATCACCAATCAAAAACATTTTTAAATGATACAATTCAAGCTATATAAAACACAAAAAAGACTCCAACCCAAAACAGCAGAATAAAGATTTCAGAAAGACATCCTTCAAAAGTGTAAATCATGTCAAATGAGGAAGATGGGGGAAAAAAAAGCATAATATCTGTCAAGTTAAATATGAACCACAGTATTTTGAGAAGCAACTTGCAACAAGCATAAAACCTTATTAAAACAAACACATCAGAAGAAAGCGGCCTCCCAGCGAGATGACTGGGTAGCTAGGCAATCAAGGTAGAAGAGTGCTAAATGCTAAATTAAATTTTTCCATTGATGGTCACAACAAAGAAGGTTAGAGAGATGATCACATTGAAACGGTGGAAGTTTCTGAATGTCTATCATTGTTTGCTATAGAAGACAAATAATAATGAACAGTAACAAATCACCATAAGGTGGTATTCACCCCAAAAAGATATTAAAAGAACTCAAATGTGAAATTTGTGAACTAACAACAGTAACGTATAACCTGTCACTTATGTCAGCCTTGATGCCAGAAGAAATGCTGTAATTATGACACCAGTCTTTAAAAAGGACTCTAGGGCTGATTCCTGTAACAACAGAATATAAAGCAGACACATTTTTATGGTATTGTAAAAAAACTCCCGTGTTGTGCTCATGTCTAGAACATCACGTCGTTTTAGTTTTACCAGCTTAAAAAATGACATTGTAGAACTAGAAGAGAGCAAGAACAACACGGATGATCAGTGATGTGGCATGACCTCTATATATGAAAAGATTAAATAGATTAGGATTCTTTGTATAGAAACTAGATTGAGGATTGGACAGGGCAAGTCTACCTAATCATAAGTAGTATAAAGCATGTACACAGGGATGTGTTTTTCACTGTTTCTTCCAGTCTAAGGAGGTACAGACTTAACTGAATAAAAGGATTTAAACTAAACAAAAGGAAATACCTTTCACTCAGTAGGTAATTAAAATGTGAAACGTGTTGTCATAAGATGTCACTGAAATCATACTTGTGAAATTTGGGTCTCTGTCCACTCAGCAGCTAGTAACTGCAATGGTTCTGATGCAGGTTCCAGCTCAGAAAGCCACTTTATTGCTGGAAACTAGGAAGGCAAAGAAGACATCCCT